CTAAGGGGAGCCGTTTAGTGATTGGGCCCCGAAGTTGCAAAGAAAAGGCCCGAATCGCTGAACCAAGTCTGCCGTAGCTGGTGTTTCTTAGTGTGACGGCAGTTCCTGTCATTGGAGTAGAGCCAGGGGAGGGGCGTTCCCTTGTGCACATCATTAACCCAGGTTTGTTGCTTCGGGGCCGCAAGAGTTGCGCCATATGCGACGGTTTGTGGCCTCGGGGACGCGAAAATTGCGTATTGTACAAAGGATTATGGCCTCTGGTATGCGACCATTGATTCATTTACGACGGTGAATTGCCTCGGGGGCGCGAGAATTGAATCATTTACCAGGGTTTCAGGCTCCGGGGACGCGAGCATTGCGTAATTTACGAAGGGTTTAGCCCTCGGGGCGCGAATACCAAGTATTTTACGTGTCCCATGCCCACCCCCCCAGAAATTCAGGCAACGCGATCTGGGGGCGATGAATTGCATGTTTGGGGCTCTCCCCTCTCGCGCGGACTTCAACAAGTTTACAGTAGGAAACAAAAAACCGGACTGTAACATTGGATACTTGAAACTGCAGCTGGCGCAGGAAGCAGCAACCTCGTCCTACAGCCTGGTGGCCCCACAAGGGGGCCGGCGGATCCTTCTGCGTCCCATGAGTCGTAAAGTCCGCCCAGGTTCGTTCATCTTGCAGGCACTGCCGCGGAATGGACAAGTCGCACGCTAAATGGCCCGTTTGGTACGCGGGGTGCTCTGGCTCGGTGTGGCCATCCATGATGGCCAGGAGGCGCCGCCGGGGCCGCCGGGCAGAGAGCCCTAGGGCGAGTTATGCTTTTGTTGGGTCGCCGCTGGTATCACGGGATAGTGAACCTCTGGGTGCACGTCGGCGCGAGAATGGTGAGCCGAGCTCGCGCACAATCTCTGTTGAGCTTTCTTCTGGTAGCGATGCTTCTCATCCCTCCTCTTCTAAACTGAACGTGCATGTTTGGGCACGTGGTCTGACATGACGAAGACCGGCGATCATGCGGTAGTTTCCTATGTGCTGTTTCTCGTTGGGGGAAACATCAAGCATCTTACCAGTCTCCTCTTGCTTCGTCGCAGTCTTCCTTCCGCCTTTGCCTTCTCTGCGTGCTCATCCTGCTCTTCCCAATCAATCCTCCCCGTCGCATTCCCTTTTCTCCTTTACGTCCGCTTCAGGCGACGTTGACCACTTCGACGACGACTGTGACGATGATGAGGACGATTACGACGACGGCGACTACGTCGGCAACGGCGGCGAAGACGATGACACCGAATTCTACAATTTCGAAGGTTCGGCACAACAGAAGACTCGAGTTCGCTGGAATTCGGGTTTGCCGACGCTTTTGAACGGGCCAGTCCTGAATTTATGTGGGACGTCTGCAGCGGGAGCTCGCGCTAAATTTCAAGCTGGGTCCCGTCATTCTTCTGACGGCCCCAGCGGTCCAACCCGTGTCCTCCGAAACTGAGTCCCACGTCTCCCAGAGCGGTGACGGTGACGACCGATGACGGCGGAGGTGATCGTCGACGATCGACGATGAGCGACGAGCGCCCACCAGGCCCCGATGGCTTCGGGGGCAGCCTGCTGGGCGGCGGGGTCCCCGCGGGTAGGAAGCCCGATCGCGGTTCCTGGGGGAGGGACAAGGAAGGGGAGGGCGGGGGAGAATCGGGGGTGGCCAAGAGCGGGGTCATGATTGGGGGGTGGGATCTCATAGCCGGGGGCATGATACCGCCCCGGCTTTTGTGGCCCCCTGCGTCTTTCCACACGTCCCTTGGCCCCCCCCCCTGGGCCGCGCACGTGTTCTGGCCAGGATTTGCGACCTCTCCCTCTTTGAGGACCCCCTCGTGGACGCCCCCGAGAACAGGGAGGAGGGAGGAGGGTGGGGGAGGAGGCAGTGGCCGGGGAGGAGGAGGAGGAGGAGGAGGAACACGAGGAGGGCAAGGAGGGTCCGAAGGCCTGGCCAGACGAGTTAGGCTTGGGGCAGTGAGCTCAGGAGTAGTTTTCGTGCGCACTGCCCCTTCGTTTTACGTTCGGATCTTGGGACTTGGAGTGTGCGCCAGGAGGGGGAGGATGAATGGAGGAGGGATGGGGTTGAGGTTGAATGATGGACCCTGCGTGGAATCGACGCCATGCCGCGTCGCGCAGTCATAGTAGACGCCATCAACGTGTTATACAAACCAGCGGCAGCACTTCATGGAAGCAGCTTGAAGTAACAAGTTTTGCATGCAGGAGGTGGTCCTCTTACACCCGCCCCCATCCTCCGTCCTCCTTCACCTCCTCCTCCTTCTCCTCCTCCTCCTCCTTCTCATCATGATCTTCATCATCATCATCAGCAGCATCATCATCAGCATCATCATCATCGTCATTATCATCATCATCATCATCATCATCATCATCATCATCATCATCATCATCATCATCACCATCATCATCATCATCATCAGCAGCAGCAGCAGCAGCAGCAGCATCAGCATCAGCATCAGCATCAGCATTCATCATCAGCAGCAGGAAATGTCTTCTGTCATTGCTCGGGCGGCCTCCGGTACGGGCAGACCGGTTTCAAGACGATCGCAACGTAAGCTTGACTTCAATGCCGTGCTGGTGATCCTTGCTCAGCGATGTTTTCAGGGAAGGTTGGGTTTCGTATTGGTTAGCTCTGATGTTCCGAAGGCGTTCGATCGAGTCAGACACCCAGTGTTGTTGAGAAGCCCTTTGAAACGCAAAGTTGATCCAGCACTGTGCGCGTGGATGCTTCGACACATCCGACAAGTATCTCATCGAGTGCGGCTGCATGGGCGCCTAGCTTGGGCATCCCCGATCAAGATATCGCTGCCTCAGGGTAGCAAGTGGGGGCCAACATTCTGGACAATTCTATTGGAAGACTGCTGATCACACGTTTGGGATAAAGGACAGCACTTGCAACTGGGTGTAGTTTTACGCAAAATCACCCCGTGTGCAGCGCATGGTGCCAAATATTGCGGGCTTGCCATTTCAAGATGGTGCCTTTCATCGTGTTCTCAGATAACATTGTCATTGCTGCTCATTGTATCCGCGACGCACGCTGGATATTCGACTTACTTGGCTCCGCTTTGCGCGACCACGGATTCGATCTCCCAGCAAGCACGGTACGTTGGATAAGCCAGATCCAGAGCGACTCCGAGCATTCGTGGCCGGGAACGACGTACAAGGGTCATGGCGTTTTCATGCGTTGCGTTGGAATTTACATAAGCGCCAATGGCCGCACCGGAGAGGACGTCCGAGTCAAATCATATTCCGCACGGAGTGCCGTCGTTCATTCAGCGAGTGTTTTGTTTATCGGAGCATCTACTCGGAAGCAGCGGTGTGGACTCATCAACCGGATTTGCGTGGCAACGTCCTCATCGCCCTCCGTCACCAAGAAGAAGGGCGTTCGGGCTCTCCTCTCCTGACCTCCGAGTGGCGAGCTGATCAACAGCAGCAGCAGCATCATCACCGGCATCAGGATCAGCATAGCCATCAGTATGATCAGCCCCGTCATCATCGTCATACTCAGCAGCATTATCATCAGCATCGTCATCGCATTACCATCACCACCGTTTCCAGCACCACCATGATCACCAACATTCAAATCACCATCCTCACCTTGGAAGCCGCCGTGGCTACCAGACGGGCGGCTGGCTTGCCGCGGGCGCCGGGGCCATCCGCGGCGGGACTCGGGGCCCACAACGCGGCGACCCAGAACCGCTCTGGCGCGCCCCAGACCTCGTCGGCATGCTGTGCGGAATGGCCGACGCCTCCGCCCACGGCAAGCCCCGCCGCCAGGCCGTCGCCTTCGGTGGGGCGCAGGATGACAGAGACGGGTGGCGCTGACACGAAGACCAACTCGGGTTCGGAAAGGGGCTGTGGTCTTGCGTCTGCTTGCGTTCCCTTGCGATTCTGCCGAGGAGCCCCCCCTGGTGTTTCTTAGGTCATGGCACGTGCGGAATCGCTTCGCCAAGCGGGGCGGGTGATCTAAGGAACGGGCACACGAACAGGGGCTAGGTTCCTTCAAAGTTGGCCAGGGGGCCGTCGAGGCGCTCGTCATCATGGCGTCCAGTTCTGTTGTGTTTTCGAGTCGCGGGCCCCCCTTCCTTCGGGCTCGGCAGAGGGAGGGGTGACATTGAAAACGAGAGGCAACGACGAGGAAACGCCTCCAAAGTATTAGTTGATTTGGGGTACAGGGTGTTTCGTTCTTTATTTAGCTTTCCTCCTGACAGTGTCATGGCTGTACAAGGACCATGCGTCCTCCTTGGAGGCATGCGTCCAAACAGATCATACAGCACGGTCATCTTTCAGCATTTTGTTACCTCAGCCGTACGGGCAGAAAACGCCCGCCACTGAGCATCGACTGTAATTTCTCTCAGCGCACGCGTCGCCCATTGGGGGACGACGCGCACACAGTATTGGCATATTGTGGTGACGCCGAGTTCGGGATCGCCTTCCTGACGGCCACGTTCGCCACCGCGGCCTCGGCGGGAGCCGCTGCAGCCTCCAGCGACCCTCTTCGCCGCCTGCGTCGAGCCGCGTCCGCCCCCGCAGCCGCCTGGGCCGAGGCCGACGAGGGCCGCGCGGCCGCGCCGTCGGCAGCCGCGGCGAGCCAGCCGCCCAGGGCCCCCGGCGGGTTTCGACGCGGGCGCGGGCTCTTGCCCGCCGAGGCAGCGGCCCCGCCCGAGGCCCAGCTGCGGCCGAGGGCCCGCCGGCCGCAGCCCCAGCGGCCGAGGGAAGCGCAGAGGCGGAGGCGCCGCCTGCCATCGCCTCCCGAACCGTGGCGCTCGAGCCTGCCAGCGGCCGCCGCGCAGACCCTCTCGCGCGGGCACGGCTGGATCGAGCAGACCGTCGACCGCTCGTCCAGGTGGCAGCTCGTCCTCTGTTACTGCCTCGGTCACCTCGTCTGACGTCGTGGCCTTGAAACTGGGCCTCTGGGGGCATCGTCCTCTCCCCCCGTCTCCGCCGTGTCGCGTTAGGGGGGTTCTGCGCGGGGGATGCGTCTCTGGCTCTTCCTGAAGTCCCGCATGCGGGTCCTGGGGGGATCCTTGGCGCAGTGCTTGTGGCCACGGCACCATCATTAACAGCACCACCATCACCACAATCATCATCTTCATCATCATCATCATCATCATCATCATCATCATCATCATCATCATCATTACCATTATCATGTTTATGTTCATCGTCATCGTTATCATCATCGTCATCATCATCATCATCATCGTCATCATCATCATCATTCTCATCATAATCATACTCATAATCATAATCATCATCATCAGCAGCAGCATCGTCATCATCGTCATCACCGTCATCATCATCATCATCATCATCAGCATCATCATCATCATCACCTTCACCATCATCATCAACACCATCAGCATCAGCATCAACACCATCAGCATCAACATCATCATCAACATCATCAGCATTATCCCCATCAACATCACCATCATATCCGTAAGGGCTTCGCCCCCTGCCGCCGGCCCCCTCTCTCGGAGAATGGGCCATGGAAGAGCTAAGTCATGAGGCCTTGGCGCTGTAGTCGCAATCAGCAAAACCAACTGATCACAAGAGGGGTTACCACACCTGGCGATTGGTAAGACGTGTATGGTTTAAGGGCTTGGTTACCACACCTTGCGATGAAAGGGCCGAGGGAGTTCTCGCAGTTTGGGTTACCACGCCTTGCGATGGATGTGCGTGATGGGTTCGAATTTCAGAAATGTGGCAAATCCCCTGTGTTTTTGGACCCTGACCCCGCGGATCTGCGTGAGGGGTGGCACCGAATTTCAGAAATGTGGCAAATCCCTGTGTTTTTGGACCCTGACCCCGCGGATCTGCGTGAGGGGTGGCACCGAATTTCAGAAATGTGGCAAATCCCCTGTGTTTTTGGACCCTGACCCCGCGGATCTGCGTGAGGGGTGGCACCGAATTTCAGAAATGTGGCAAATCCCCTGTGTTTTTGGACCCTGACCCCGCGGATCTGCGTGAGGGGTGGCACCGAATTTCAGAAATGTGGCAAATCCCCTGTGTTTTTGGACCCTGACCCCGCGGATCTGCGTGAGGGGTGGCACCGAATTTCAGAAATGTGGCAAATCCCATGTGTTTTTGGACCCTGACCCCGCGGATCTGCGTGAGGGGTGGCACCGAATTTCAGAAATGTGGCAAATCCCATGTGTTTTTGGACCCTGACCCCGCGGATCTGCGTGAGGGGTGGCACCGAATTTCAGAAATGTGGCAAATCCCATGTGTTTTTGGACCCTGACCCCGCGGATCTGCGTGAGGGGTGGCACCGAATTTCAGAAATGTGGCAAATCCCATGTGTTTTTGGACCCTGACCCCGCGGATCTGCGTGAGGGGTGTCGAGCCCCCCCCAGCAATTCAGACAACGCGCCCAGAGGACGCTGGAAAATCCTGTTTGGGCCTCCCCCCCCCTCGCGCGGTCAATCAACTAGTTACAGTAAACAGCAAGAAGTCAACTAGTTACAGTAACCAGCAAGAAGCAGAACTGTAACACTGGAAACTAGAAACTACAACTGGTACAGGAAACTGCGAATCACGCGCCTACAGCCTGGTGGCCCCACAAGGGGGCCGGCGGATTCATCATCATAATCGTCGTCATCGTCGTCGTCGTCATTGTCATCGTTGCCGTCGTCATAATCGTCATCAACATCATCATCAGCAGCATTATCATCATCATCGTCATCATAATCATCAACATCATCATCGTCACCATTATCATCATCACCAGCATCATCAACATCATCCTCACCCTCGTCCTCAGTATCATCCTCGTCGTCATCATCACCATCGTCATCGTCAGCATCATCACCATCACCGTCACCGTCACCGTCACCGTCGTCGTCAGCAGCACCATCATCATCATCATCATCATCATCATCATCATCATCATCAGCAGCAGCATCATCATCATCATCGTCATCAGCCCTGAGCTCCTTCTCCCCCCTTGTCTCTCTCTCTTCCCCCTCTTCCCCCGCTTGACCCCCTGCTCCTCCCCCTCACACCTCCGCCGCCTCCTGCTGAAGCTGCCTCCTAGTTGATCGGTCGGACCGCTGGGCGGGCGATTCCGAGGGCCTCACGATCGGTGGGATGCCCCTGCGGTCCAGGACAGACGAGTGCTGGCGGAGACTGGCAGAGCCTCCGATTCTCTGAGATTGGATTCCCCTGCTGGGGCCGCAATTCCGATTCGACTCGGCCCGGTTCGGTTATGGCGTCGACCGAAGTCAGCTGCGGCTGGGCGTGGCGATCCGATTTTGGCTCGTGTCGGGGCGCTTCGCTGGCGATCCGATCCGTTGCCGCTCCGATGCGATTTAGCGATTCGATCCAGCTCAGGCCTGGCTGGGGCGGGGCTTGGCGGCGGCTTTGGGCGCGTCGGGGGCGCGCAAGGAGCGGGGCTGGGCGACAGCGAGGGTGGCGGCTTTTCATAAAAAGGCACCCTGCCTGTTCCTTTGACCGATTGAAATCACTTGGAGGATGCCGTGGTCTGCGCTTGGCGTAACGCGCACACAGTGGCGCCGAGAGTTCCAGGCGAAGTAATATTCTGTCCCGACAGGAGACGTCGGTTAAGCGACCATTCGGGGCGCTCCAGGAAATTTCTTCGCCTTCAAGGGATCGGGAAGTTGACGTCATCCTTCGGTGGGAGGCCGGCGGAATGCGGCGGAAGTACGAAGAGGCCGCCTCCTCCGGCGGACATCTTGCGACACGACAACAGTTCAGATTCAGGGTTTTGGGATTCGCCCATTCGTCCCTCTGCGGAGTCTGGCTTCGGGAGCGAGAAACAGCATCAATGACACGCCTCCGTTGGCAGCCTATCGCCCTGTTGTTCCGTTGCTTTTCCTTTGGACGCTAGCTGTTGCTTCAACACTGACACGCTGTTTTTGTTATCCCACAGTGGTATGTCATTGATCAGAGTGAGAGGGCCGAACGGTCATTCATTGTCCCTGGGTGTGTGGCTGAAGCGGGGTTCCGCGATGGAGATTGTTGTTGCGCTGCTGTTTGTTATTTGCTGTTTGTTGTTTGTTGTTTGTTGTTGTTGCTGTTGAATTCCCACTTCTGAAGAATAATTATTGATGATCCCCCCACGGGTGCATATTGTTTTTTCTCAATCAAAGTGTGCCCCTCGACGCTCGCACCCTGTTTTTTTGACAGGGAAAGTCTTGATGCTCAAGCTTGGCCCCTGGCCCCCGCGTTACAACAACAACGGCTCCCATTTGAAATTTCCTTACAATTTAGCCAGGACCCCCGCTCCCGTCCGAGACTTCCTCGCATTTTATTCAGGAACCGCGCTCTTGCTTGGGACTCCCTTACAATTTATTCAGGAATCGCTCTCCCGGCGCTCTGGAGTCGCGCTCTCGCTGGAGACTTGCTTGCAATTTACTGAAGAGTGGCCTTGCGTTGGAATTTCTTGCAATTTGCCCCAGCGCCGCGCTCCCGACACCCAGGCACCCAGGAGTCGCGCCCGTTGTGGCCCCATGTGCATGCCCTTCGTGGCCCCGCTGTCGCCATTTGTGTCCCCCTCACTGTCCTACGTGGCCCAGTTGCTACCCTCAGTGGCCCCATAGTTGCCTTCTGTGGCCCCGCATTATCTGCACTTCGTGGCCCCCGCTCGTTCGCGCTCTTCGTGGCCCCATACGCATTCCCTTCGTGTCCCCGCTGTCGCCCTTCGTGGCCTACTTCGTGCCCTTCGTGGCCCTGCTGTCGTTCTCTCTATCGCTCTCGCTTTCGCTCGTCGTCGCCGTCGTCGTCGTCGTCGTCGTCGTCGTGGTCGGTCCCCTGTCCGTCCCTCTTGGGGTCGGGTCAACGGTCCGCGGCAGCCCCGCCGATCAGCGCTGCCGCTGGCCAGGCCGACGGTCCGCGGCCGCCCCGCCGCTTGCCGGGGCCCGGCCTGCAGGGAAGAAAGGTATACGGTATACCCCCCAAAAGGAGTTCGATCGAAGACGAAGAGGGCGGGCGGGTATCGAGGGTTTGGGAGACACGCGTTATTGAACACTCGAGCATATAAGGGCGAACAGTCTTAAAATTATTATGATTATTATTATTGTTGTTGTCGTCGTCCCACTCGCGACCCAGCCCGCGACCCGCCCGCGACCCGCCCGCGACCCGAACGCGCCCCGGCCCGCGACCCACCCGCGACCCATCCGCGACCCACTCGCGACCCGCCCGCGACCCGCCCGGCGCGACCCACCCGCGACCCGCCCGGCGCCCGCCCCCCCATTCCTATCCGCAATTGCGGGGTGCTGAATGCGATTTCTGCTTGCCCACCATGTGGAGGCCTCTGAGGCGGGCAGCGCCGTTCGAGTCGCACGCCTGGGCCTTCTTGAAAAGACCGCCCCCCTCGCCCCCACCCCTTGCAGCGCGCCGTCCGCTGCTGGGGCCGTGGCCTTCTGGCACGGTGGAACAGAGCCGCTCGGCCACGGGCAGAAGAGGGGCTGGGGGGAGGGGGAAGGCTTCTTGGAAACACCCCTGCTTCTGAGAAGGCGCGGGCCACGTCCATACATGTAGGGTTGGCGCCGTCTAAGAAGCAGCCTCCTTCTAAGAAGCCTTCCCCCCTCCCCCTATACTGACCCCTCGTGCGCGCCGCCAAGACGTGGCGGGTGATTTCTCGGGCCAAGAGAGCGGGAGGGGGAGGGGGAGAGGGAGGGGGAGGGGGAGGAGAAGGAGGAGGAGGAGGAGGAGGAGGAGGAGGAGGGGGAGGAGGAGGAGGACGAGGAGGAGGAAGGCAGAGGAGTGGGGGAGGAGGAGGGAGGAGGAGGAGGAGGAGGAGGCGGAGGAGGCGGGGGGAGGGGGAGGGGGAGGAGGACGAGGAGGAGGAGGAGGAGGAGGAGGCGGAGGAGGAGGAGGCGGAGGAGGAGGGGCCCCAGACGGGGCGGGCCGTGCCTATTTCACGACGTGCCCTCCCCTGGACCCGTCCTTCGCCGCGGGCCGGCGTTTGCGGACTCCTGGGGCGCGGCGGCGACCCCTGGACGCCGAAACTGGCTGACGGATGCCCGCCGTCATTTTGGCTGCCCCGCCCAGAGTTCGAGCGTGCGTTTCTTTGTTGTCGATCGTCGGCGAACTCGGGCTTCCGAGGTCCCGGAGAAGCCGTCGCCCGGCCACGATCACCACGTGCCCAAGCCCGTGTACGGCAGCTCCTCTCTGTGGGGGGTGGGCGGGGAGGCATCGAGGAACGCCCCGCTGTCGCCAGGAAGACAGGGGGGCCTGCGGGAGGGCCTTGAATTTTGTTCCGCATCATTTCGCCACTTGGGGCCCTTCATGTCCACGATCGGGGGCCGCGAAGTACCGGGTGACGTGCCCAGCCTTTTCTGAACATATGGCGACCATACCCAGGACCGCTCATTGCAAGCGAACAGACGGAAGGACCCGCAGTGCGCAGAAGCACGAGCCCCCAGACGTGAAATCAGGAGAGCACGGCAGCGGGAGTGCGGGAGAGTAACGGCTGGGTCTGCGCACGTACACCTCCACTCCGCTGGACACCCCAGGAGCCCATCGAAGTTGCGACAGCTGCGCACTGCCCCGCTCCCCAGGGAGCCGCGGGGTCTCGGCGAGGTGTGCGTGGCACCCCACTCCGCCCCGCTTGCCGGGAGTCCACGAAAAGTGGCGGCCGATGCGCAGTTGTCAACCCCCCAGGGAGCCGCAAGGTCTCGGCGATGTGTGCGTGACGCCCCACTCCGCCTTGCCTCGCAGGTGCCAGCCCCCAGGGAGCCGCGAGGTTTCGGCTGGGTCCGCTTGACCCCCACTCCGCTGGATCTCCCCAGAGCTCGCGAAAGTGGCGACACTTGCGCACTTCGCAGCCCCCCCAGGGAGCCGCGAGGTCTCGACGAGGTTCGCGTGACGACCGACAGCGCTGGACCTCCAAGAAGCCCACGAAATTGGCGACAGCTGCGCACTTCGCAGCCCGCCATGGAGCCGCGAGGTCACAACTGGATTTCCGTGTCATTTGACGCCACGGGACCTTCCAGGAGGCCACGAACGTGGCGACACTTGCGCACTTCGCAGCCCCCCAGGGAGCAGCGAGGTCCCAACTGGATCCCCGTACAGCTCCACGCCGCGGGACCTTCCAGGAGGCCACGAACGTGACGACACTTGCGCACTTCGCAGCCCCCCAGGGAGCCGCGAGATCCCCACGGGATACCCTTACAATTCCACGCCGCGGACCTCCCAGGAGCCCCCGAAAGTGGCGACAGTTGCACATCGCAGCCCCCCCAGGAAGCCGCGAGGTCCCAAAGGGATACCCGTGTCCCCCACTCCGCGAGAGAGCCCACGAAAGTGGCGATGGTTGCGCACTTCGCAGCACCCCGCGAAGTCTCAACGGGATTCCCGTGTCCCCCCCACTCCGCGGCACCTCCTGGAAGGCCACGAACGTAGCGACAGTTGCGCTTTTCGCAGCCCTCCCAGGGAGCCGCGAGGTCTCAACGGGATCCCCGTGTCCCCCCACTCCGCGGCACCTCCTGGGAGCCCACGAAAGTGGCGACAGCTGCGCACTTCGCAGCACCCAATTGAGCCGCGAGGTTCCAACTGGATCCCCGTGTCCCCCCACTCCGCGGGACCTCCCAATAGCCCATGGAAGTAGCGACAGCTGCTCACATCGCAGCACCCCAATGAGCCGCGAGGTCCCAACTTGATCCCTGTGTCCCCCCACTCCGCGGGACCTCCAAGTAGCCCACGAAAATTGCGACAATTGCGCACTTCGCAGCACCCCATGGAGCCGCGAGGTTCCAACTGGATCCCCGTGCCCCCCACTCCGCGGGACCTCCCAGTAGCCCATGAAAGTAGCGACAGCTGCGCACATCGCAGCACCCCAATGAGCCGCGAGGTCCCAACTGGATCCCCGTGTCCCCCCACTCCGCGGGACCTCCGAGTAGCCCACGAAAGTGGCGACAATTGCGCACTTCGCAGCCCCACAGGGCGCCGCGAGGTCTCAATTGGATCCCCGTGTCCTCCCACTCCGCGGGACCTCCCAGGCGCCTACGAAAGTGGCGACAGTCGCGCGCTTCGCAGCCCTCCAGGGACGCAAACAGGACGCAGGAGAGAAGAGAGAGACAAGAGAAGGAAGAGCAGACATGAGGCAGGATGTAGGAGGCAGGAGGCAGGACGGGGAGGAGGGAGGAGAAGTGAAGGCCACAGTGCTTTATTCAAAACGAGAACCCAGCGCAGGATGGTTAGGAAACGCTGCTCAGGATGCAAAGCCGTTGCTGGAGAAATGCCAGGGTCCATGGCCCATTTCGTTCAGGACCCTGGGCCTCTTAATAACACTCTCCCTCCCCACGCTTTGCGTATGCGGGAAGGGTCGCAGACGAACAGTACGTATCACTGCCACGTTGGTCGGACGCCCCCATCAGCGCAGCACTGCTGGAGAAGTACCAGTTTTCTGCTCAAAGAGCAAATGGGTAACACGCAGAGCTTGACAGACGACGTGCGTGTCCCTGATCTTAGTCAAAAGACTTGAGCCATTCCGCCGACTCCGTAATGTTGCGGGAGAGGGAGGACGAGACTGAGATGGAAGGCGACGACGGTCAGAGCACGAAGGAGGAGACGGAGGAGGAGGAGGAGGAGGAGGAGGAGGAAAACGAGGACGCCGGGAAGGTGTTTGCTGTTCTGGTTACCTTGTGGAGGTCCCCCTCGTGGAGCCTCTTCCCCCCAAGAGGGGGGAGGTGGGTGGGCGGACGTTTTTTGTTTCTTTGGCCTTTGAGGAGCCCTCGCCGTCACGGCCGGGCTCTCCCCGACATGCTAGCCCGGTGGCGCTTCAGGACAGTCGGGCGGACGGCAGAGACGGGGCGATGAAAGAGGCTCGAAAGGGCCCTTGAATGGCATCAAAAATTATAGTCGAGGGCCCAACAGGTGCTCGAAAGGCGCACGCTTCTTCACCCCACGTTTCTTGCTCCCTCCCCTCGCCCCGTCAACGAACACCCGAGACACCCTGAGGCCCGGGACCCGCTTTTGCAGGCACCGCGAACAATTACGAGTTGCACTTCTCTGCCAGCGCGGCGCTCCTGGGTCGTCTGCCGCCCGCAGGACACGCAACAAGTGGCCCGCGGTCAAGAAACCTGCCCTGGTGAAGCGCTGTAGAAAAGCGTGTTCAGGGCATGGGGTCGAAAGGTTTGGGGTCCCAGGCCGTAAAATAGCACGACGTCTGCGCTTCTCCTCATCCTGCTCCCCGTCGTCTACCCTCCTGCTTTCACTTCTTCTCCTGCACTTGCCTGATATCGTGGGTCCTCCCATGGGAAGCGCATTCAAGTCTCTGGCTTGGCTGCCTCACGCCGAGCTCGCGACTGATATCTCTCGGCTCGTCACCTTGTTCCTTTGTCCAGAGTGCTGCAGTCTGGGTGAGCAGGCTCACGCATGATGCCAAATCCAAAGTAATGGGTGCTTGGTGGTGCCAGTTTCGGGTATGCATTCTCACTGGATTGTCCAGTCTAGAGCATGCTTTGTCCATTTGGATTGTTCCTACGCGTCCCATCGACAGACGCGTTCTGCACTGTGCCCGCAACTGCTGGGGCGTAAATCTATTTCAGCCACACGTCCAGGAAGGATGTGTTGCTCGGTGTCACAATGCGATTTGAAGAATGGGCGGGTGTTGTACCAGAGAGGCGAGGTTTTCAGCATCTGGCGATGTTGCGCAAATGGCCGCCTGTTGTGCCACAGAGGCGCTGCGTGCATGGTGCCTCTCTCCCTGCGCGTATCCACGCTACCGTGCGCATGCATTTGAGGTTTGTGTCAACCCCAGCATGGTGTTTCACTACTGAAAGGTTCCTCGCCGGTGCAATTGTTGTCGTTGCCGTGTTGCCCCCCGGAGACAGGATGCTCCAATAGTTAATCTGGTGAGGGCTGGGGGGGAGAGAGGTTCGGCAGGGGGAGCAGGGGGTGCACGCTGCGCCACGGTCGAACGAGCCGTCAGGCATAAGAGACATCGTTCCAGTGTTGACGGCGCCGCGGACAATGCAGTACAACAGCGCGAACAAACCGATGCAGGTCTTCCCAGCGATGCCGTCGAAACAGCTGCAATGCGAGGTCGCCGTTTTCTTTGGAGCGTTGGACAGGAGACGGGTGTTTCCCTTTCGTCGAGAAACAGGAAGAGGGGTGGCAGGAGTAGGTGGAGGACGACAACGGTTGAGAGGAGGAGGAGGAGGAGGAAGTGGAGGATGAGGGAGAGAGCCACGAGACTTCGTCTCGCGGCCCACGCGAGAGAAAAGGGGAGTGAGAATGGGAGAGAAATAGAGAAATATAAGGAAACATATAAAGAGTGAGAGGGAGGGAGAGAGGGAGAGACAAGGAGAGAGATAGAGAGAGAGAGAGAAATGGAGAGAGATAGAGAGCCTGAGAGAGAGAGAGAGACGAGGGCGAGGAGGGGGAATGGAGGAGAAGTAAAGGGGCAAGAGGAGGAGGAGGAGAAGGAGGAGGATGAACAAGAGGAGGGGAAGGAAGCTGTGCCTCCCATGACGCGGTTTAGTATAGTTCTGCTCGGCGGATGCGCCAGCACCTCCTCATCTCGGATGTTTGTCGTTGAAGACACTGCTTCGACGAGGATGGCGCTTTCGTGTCCATGATAAAACATGGACGAGCCAACCCGGACGGTGTTCTGTGACCCAAATCAGCCTCAAAAGAGATGCTTGAGCGGCCTTCGGTAGAAGACAAGCACGCTTCCTACAAGTGGCGGTTTGGGGCGATATGCATGTGAGGCTCTCTTGAAGTGGAGCAAGGTGGTGGCAGACTGCAGTCGGCAAGAGCCAGGGCAAGATGTGGAGATTGCGGCGGAACGGGGGTGGTACAGTTGCGAGCGATGGGTCCGTCAGGGCTGGGGTCGAGCTGCAATCAAGAATATCACTGACTGGCTGGACAAATCGTTTGCGGACAAGTACGTCGAAGGTAAGGGAGGCACGGAGTGGCACTATATCCAGCTGGACGGTTGGGTGATTCATTTTTGGCGGGGGAGGGGGGGGGGGCGAGGGAGAAGATGCTTCGTTGTCTCGGTATGGCGCTGCAGCAAGGAGGGACACAGTTCTACACAGTGAGAGGGTTCGAGCTGTCGGGGGAGCGGAAGACCGCCGCCGCTTCTCTCAGTTTGCACACGGTTGGTTGGATCCACGTGCAAAGCGTGAGTATTACATTACCCAGTGACGTACCCAACCTTCTCTACACATAGGGCGTCTATACAATAGCCGCTCATTGCAAACAAGCGTGTTGCAGGACCCGCAGTGCGCATGCGCTCCCAGGAGTATGCAGGAACGCACGTAGGAATAAGCAACTTAGAGACGGTGCCATAAGCATACAGAGGGGTGTGAAGGAGGGGCGTCCATGTTGAGTAACAACAGCAGCGCCGAGCGCGACTTTCGTGGGAAAGAACAGCGCCGTGCGTTCGCTCTATAGCAGAACAACGCGCCGCGCTGAGCGAGGTAAGCGCGCGGGGTGGCATGGTGGGTCAGAGGCAGCTGAGGATGGGAGGCCGCGCGGAGAAAAATGCAGCGCCAGGCACTGCGTGGCCAAGGGTCTCCCCTCGAGCTGCGATGCGACAGCGCCGAGCGCTGCGTGATGGGAGAGCGCCGCGAGTTCCCAATTGGATCCCCGTACAATCCACTCTGCGCGACCTCCCAGGAGCCCACGCAAGTGACGACAGTTGCGCACCTCGCAGCCCCCCAGGGAGCCGCGAGGTCCCAACTGGATCTGCGCACCACTTCACTCCGCACGATTTCCCAGGAGCCCACGAAAGTGGCGACAGTTGAGCACCGTTCGCAGCCCCCCAGGGAGACGCGAGGTCCCAACTGGGTCTGCGTACCACTCCACTCCGCTGGACCTCCCAGGAGCCCACGAAAGTGGCCACAGGCGCTCACTTCGCAGGGCCCCCAGGGAGCAGCGAGGTCCCAACTGGGCCTGCGTACCACCCCACTCCGCGAGACCTCCCACGGGCCCACGAACGTGGCGAGAGTTACACACTTCGCAGCCCCCCAGGGAGCAGCGAGGTCCCAACTGGGCCTGAGTACCATTTCACCCCGCTGGACCTCCAGGAGCCGAAGAAAGTGGCAACAGTTGCGCACTTCGCAGCTCCGCAGGGAGCCGCGAGGTCCCAACTGGGTCTGTGTATCACTCCATTCGCTTGACATTCCAGGGGCTGGCGAAAGTGGCGACAAATTCGCAATTCGCAGCCACGCAAGAAGCTGCTCGGTCCCAACTGGGTTTGCGTACCACTCCACTTCGCTTGACCTCCCATGAACCCGCGAACGTGACGACAGTTGCTCAACTTTCAGCCACGCAGGGAGCCGCGAGGTCCCAACTGGGTCTGCGTACCACTCCATTCCGCTGGACTTTCCAGGAGGCAGCGAAAGTGGCGACAGTTACGCGCCCCGCGGCCACGCAGGTAGCCGCGAGGTCTCAACTGGGTCCACGTACCACTCCACTCCGCTCCCCAGGCGCCCACGAAAGTGGCGACAGTTGCGCAATTCGCAGCCACGCAGGGAGCCGGGAGGTCCCATTTAGGTCTTCGTACCACTCCATTCCGATGGATCTCCCAGGAGCCCGCGGAAGTGGCGACAGTTGCACCGTTTGTTGCCGCGAGGTCCCGACTGGGTCCGCTTACCATTCCGCCCCGTTGAGCTTCCCAGGAGCCAACGAAAGTGGGGACAGTTGCGCACTTCGCAGCCCCCCAGGAAGCCGCGAGGCCCCAATTGAGTCCGCGTACCACTCCACTCCGCTGGAACTCCCAGGATCCCACAAAAATTGCAACAGGTGCGCACCACTCCAGCTGGGAGCCGCATCAGTCTCGCAGGGAGCCGCGAAGTCCCAACTGGGTTTGCGTACCACTCCACTTCGCTGAAAATCACAGGGGCCCACGAAACTTGCGACAGTTGCGCACCTCGCAGCCCCCCAGGGAGCCGCGTGGTCCCATTTAGGTTTGCGAACCACTCCACTTCGCGCGACCTACCAGGAGCCCACGAATGTGGCGACAGTTGCGCACCCCGCAGCCACGCAGGGAGCAGAGAGGTCCGTGGGTTCACGTACCACCCCACTCCGCTGGACCTCCCAGGAGCCCACCAAAATGAGCAGCGAGGTCCCAAATGGGTCTGCATACCACCCCATTTCGCGCGACCTCCCACGGGCCCACGAACGTGGCGACAGTTGCGTAATTCGCAACCACGCAGGGGGGCCGCGAGGTCCCAATTGGGTCCGCGTACAACTCCGCTCCGCTGGACCTCCCAGAGGCACGCGAAATCGGCGGCACCTGCGCAATTCGCAGCCACGCAGGGGGCCGCGAGAGCTCGACGTGGTGTGCGTGACTACCGATTCGGTTAGACCCCACAGGAGCCCGCGAAAGTGGCGACAGGGAGAGCCCCGCACGAAAGTGGCCAGGCGGCGTAAGCAGGACGATGGGGAGAAGGGAGGAGGAACGTACGGAGGAGGAGACTGGAGGCACGAAGTATGAGGCAGGAGGCACGAGGGGCAGCAGAGGGGAGGCGTGGAGACCACACCAGCTCGATTCAAAACGAGAACCCAACACAAGAGCGTTGGGAACAGTATGGTAGCATGTGGGCGTGGTGTGGCGGGACACGAGGTGCAAAGGTTTCTGGTTCGGGGCATCCTTGGGACAACGCGCAAATCTTACATCGTCGCGTGAGGCAAAGACTACATCGTCGCCTGAATGTGTCCTTGGATCGGTAATCTGGGGTCTGGAGAGTTCCGAGTTTGTGTAGAACTCACGCACATGTATACAGACACCTGTGTACATGACGTGGCCGCACGATCCTTCACCATCCCTGGGCGCCTGGTTGGGTGAGGTTCCGCGGTGCGGATTGTTGTTGCTGTTGTTGTTGTCGTCGCTGTTCTTGTTGAAACCTCACGACTGAAGAAATACTTGTTGTTGATCCCCCCTCCGGGGTATATTGTTTATTTCAATTGAAATGCCCTTCCCGGTGCTTGCACCCGGCTTTTTATTCCCAGAAAGGGCTTAGGCCCAGGGTTCTCTTTTAGTTTTGTTTCCCCCCGGTTTTGACGACTGTATAGGGCAGGCGATTGTTTCCCGGAAAGGGCGCAGGCCCAGGGTTCTCTTTTAGGGGTTTGCCCCCAGATCTGACGGCTGTAGGGCCGGCGAATTTCTCTGCGATAAATAACGAGATCGCGTAGGGCCGGCGAATTAAAATTTGAGGATCCCCCTAGCGAAACGATTGTTTTTTCCGGAAAGGGCTTCAGGCCCAGGGTTCTCTTTTAGAGGTTTCCCCCCGGTTTTGACGGGAAGAGGGCCGGCGGATTTCTTTTGCGATAAATAACGAGTGGGAAGAGGGCCGGCGAATTAAAATTTGAGGATGTCCCTAGCGAAACGCTTGTTTTTCAGAATTGGTTGAAGATGTCTCGAGCGAAACGCTTGTTTTGTGTTAAAGCTTGTCCTCTCCTGGGGACCTGAATTCAGAGGATCTCTCAAGTGAAATGCTTGTTTTCACGTGCCCAGGTCTTGACGATGTCTCGAGGGAGACGCTTGGTTTCACGCCCCAGGTTGCACAGACAGATGTCTAGCATGAGGATTTGTTGAGGATGTCTCGAGCCAGAGGCTTGTTTTCACGTGTCCAGGTCGCCCAGGCGGATGTCTAGCATGAGGATGTGTCGAGGAAGTCTCGATCGAGACGTTTGTTTGCACGTGTCCAGGTTGCCCAGGCGGATGTCTAGCATGGGGATGTGCTGAGAACGTCTTGAGCGAAACGCGTGTTTTCACGTGTCCAGGTCGCCCAGGCACAGCACAGCCCTCGGCACGGTACATCAAAACCAATATCATGAGCATTACAGCCTGGCATGTTGCCTGGCGCGTTCCGCGGAGCGTCCCGTGGCGAGTTCCCCTGACACGTCGCGCGGTGCACGTCCATTGGCACGTTCCGTAGCGCGTCCCCTTGGCACGTCCCGCGGTGCGTCCCCATGGCACGTCCCCTGGCACGTCGCCTGGCACGTCCCTTGGGACGTTCCGCGGCGCGTCCTCCTGGCATGTCCCCTCTGTCGATTAGTTCTGGGGCAGCTACCATCTGCTCAGGCAGCTCGAGCTTAAGATCCACATCAGTTCGGTGAGGACTCGGATGCAAAGAGGACTCGATCCACAACGCTATCTAGAGCACACTCGCGGCATGGCACATTGCAGTTCAGCACGGCCCAGCACAGCACAGCCGTCGGCACGGTACATCAAGATCGATACATTCAACATTGCACCTTGGCACGTTCCTTGGCGCGTTCCGTGGCGAGTCCACCTGGCGCATCGCGCGGCGCGTCCCCTGGCACGTCCCGCGGCACATCCATTGGCACGTTCCGTAGCGCGTCCCCTTGGCACGTCCCGCGGTGCGTCCCCATGGTACGTCCCCTCGCACGTCGCCTGGCGCGTCCCTTGGGACGTTCCGCGGCGCGTCCTCCTGGCATGTCCCCTCTGTCGATTAGTTCTGGGGCAGCTACCATCTGCTCAGGCAGCTCGAGCTTAAGATCCAGATCAGTTCGGTGAGGACTCGGATGCCAGGGAGGACTCGATCCACAACGCTATCTAGAGCACAATCGCGGCATGGCACATCGCAGTTCAGCACGGCGTAGCACAGCACAGCCCTCGGCACAGTACATCAAGATCGATACATTCAGCATTGCATTTGCCCGTCGCCCAATTAGGTGTCTTTGAAACGTTGCCATGCCTTACATTTCTATATTCCTTGCCGGGTTCGTGGGTCGATCATGTTCAGAATGTGTTGAGGATGTTTCGAGCGAAACGCTTGTTCCCTACCTAGGCTCTGCTTAGAAGGGTTCTTACCCTGTGTGCTTAAAGGGCCGGGCAGTGGAACTCGCCCCGGGCGGTTCCCCCAGGATCCGCCCCGCGGTTCCCCCAGTTACGTCTCCTTAGCTCAGCGTTGACCATCTCATCTTAGCTTAGCTTAGCTTAGCTTAGCTTAGCTTATCTTCATCTTAGCTTCGCTTAGCTGTAGCTTAGCTTAGCTTAGCTTAACTAAGCTACATCAACAGCAACAGCAAAGCAAAGCACTAGCAACGCAAAGCAAAGCAAAGCACAGCAAACGCAAAGCAAATGAAAGGCAAAGCAAAGCAATGTGCAACAGTACGATCAGAGAGCCCACCCGGTGAGCGAATGCAGAAACACGCGTGTGTGTGCGAAGGCAACGCACAAGCAAAACCAAGCAAAGGCAAAAACAAGCAAACGCAAAGGCAACTACGACGATGAGTACAAGGAGGAGGACGGTGTTTACCGTTACTACTAATGCTGCTTTCCTGGGGCTCCAACTCCTAGGTAGGGTCGCACTGGGTTAATTTTGTGTTATAGATTGTCCTCTCCCGGGGACCAGAATTCAGAGGAGCTCTGAAGTGAAATGCTTGTTTTCACGTGCCCAGGTCTTGAGGATGTCTCGAGCGAGACGCTTGGTTTCACGCCTCCAGGTTGCCCAGGCAGAGGTCTAGCGCCAGGATTTGTTGAGGATGTCTCGGACCAGAGGCTTGGTTTCACGCGTCCTCGTCGCCCAGGCGGATGTCTAGCATGAGGATGTGTTGAGGAAGTGTCGATCGAGACGCTTGTTTGCACGTGTCCAGGTTGCCCAGGCGGATGCCTAGCATGAGGATGTGTTGAGAATGTCTCGAGAGATACGCTTGTTTTCACGTGTCCAGGTCGCCCAGGCGGATGTCTAACATGAAGATGTGTTGAGGATGTCTCGAGCGAGACGTTTGCTTTCACGTGTACAGGTCGCCAGGCGGATGTCTAGAATGAGGAGGTGTTGAACACGTCTCGAGCGAAACGCTTGTTTTCACGTGCCCAGGTCACCCAGGCGGACGTCTCACATGAAGATGTGCTGAGGATGTCTCGAGCGAACCACTTGTTTTCACGTGTCCAGTTCGCCCAGGCGGATGTCTAGCATGAGAATTTGTTGAGGAAGTGTTGAGCGAAACGCTTGTTTTCACGTGTCCAAGTCGCCCAGGCGGATGTCTAGCATGAGGATTTTGACAGGATGTCTCGAGCGAAACGCTTGTTCCCAGCACGTTCCGTAGCGCGTCCCCTTGGCACGTCCCGCGGTGCGTCCCCATGGCACGTCCCCTGGCACGTCGCTTGGCGCGTCCCTTGAGACGTTCCGCGGCGCGTCCTCCTGGCATGTCACCTTGTCAATTAGCTCTGGGGCAGCTTCTATGTGCTCAGGCAGTTCGAGCTTAAGATCCAGATCAGTTCGGTCAGGACTCGGATGCAAAGGAGGACTCGATCCACAACGCTATAGAGCACAATCGCGGCATGGCACATTGCAATTCAGCACGGCGCAGCACAGCACAGACTTCGGGAGGGTACATCAAGATCGATACACTCAGCATTACAATTTGGCACGTTCTTTGGCACTTTCTGTGGGGCGTCCCTTGGCGAGTCCCCCTGGCACGTCGCGTGGCGCGTCCCCTGGCACACCCCGTGGCACATCCATTGACACGTTCCGTAGCGCGTCCCCTTGGCACGTCCCGCGGTGCGACCCCATGGCACGTCCCCTTGCACGTCGCCTGGCGCGTCCCTTGGGACGTTTCGCGGCGCGTCCTCCTGGCATGTCCCCTTGTCAATTCGCTCTGGGGCAGCTACTACGTGTTCAGGCAGCTCGAGCTTAAGATCCAGATCAGTTCGGTGAGGACTCGGATGCAAAGGAACACTCGATCCACAACGCTATCTAGAGCACAATCGCGGCATGGCACATCGCAGTTCAGCACGGTGCAGCACAGCACAGCGCTCGGCAGGGTACATCATGATCGATACACTCAGCATTCCATTTGCCCGTCACCCAATCAGGTGTCTTTGAAAACGATGCCACGCGCTACATTTCTATATTCCTTTCCGGGTTCGTGGGTCGATCATGCTTTTTTCAAGGGCAAGACGCACGCTTCAGCAACCCTCCTGCTCGACCTGGCCGCCTGGGCCCGCCTAGAATAGGGAAAGAGAGGAGGGTACGAAATATGTTGCACGCAGCTTGTTTCCGCCCCGCCGCCGGTGGCGCCTCCTGGAGCCAGGAGTCGCCATAAAAAACAGCTACGTGAGCTGATTCTCTACCCTGCCCTTTACTATCCTCCCCTCTCGTCCCCCCCGACAGTTGCTGGAGACAATTCGACGAACGCTCGCAGGGCGCCTGGGCGAGAACCACATTTTGAAGTCACGCCGGGCTCTAGCCGCGCAGCCGCTGGAAGCTTGCAAGACGAGCGTGGGCGATTGGAAACGTAGGGCGCAACTTGAAACCGAGCCGCCCTGAATTCATAGAGTTGTTGGAGGTTCGCAGTGCGGATGGGCGCGATGCGAAGGCCAGAGCTTTTTTTCCTGGAAAGGGCTCCGGCCCAGGGTTCTCTTCTAGAGGGTTACCCCTTGAATCAACGGCTGTAGGGCCGGCGAATTTCATCTGCGGTAAATATCGAGGTCGAGTAGGGCCGGCGAACAAAACATCGAGGGTGTCCCGAGCGAAACGCTTGTTCTGCAGAAATTGTTGAGGATGTCTCTAGCGCAACGCGTCTTTTGTGGTATAGATTGTCCTCTCCTGGGGGCCAGAATTCAGAGGATCTCTCAAGTGAAATGCTTGCTTTGACGTGCCCAGGTCTTGAGGATGTCTCGGGCGAGACGCTTGGTTTCACACGTCCAGGTTTCCCAGGCAGATGTCTAGCATGAAGATGTGCTGAGGATGTCTCGAGCGAGACGCTCACGCGTCCAGTTCGCCCAGGTGGATGTCTAGCATGAGGATATGTTGAGGAAGTCTCAAGAGATACGCTTGTTTTCACGTGTCCAGGTTGCCCAGGCGGATGTCTAGCATGAGGATGTGTTGAGAACGTCTGGAGGGAAACGCTTGGTTTCACGTGTCCAGGTCGCCCAGGCGGATGCTTAACATGAGCGTGACGTTTGCTTTTGCGTGTCCAGGTCGCCCAGGCAGATGTCTAGCATGAGGATGCGCTGAGGATGTAGTGAGCGAAACGCTTGTTTTCACGTTACCAGGTCACCCAGGCGGACGTCTGACATGAAGATGTGTTGAGGATATCTCGAGCGAGCCACTTGTTTTCACGTGTCCAGTTCTCCCAGGCGGATGTCTAGCATGAGGATGTGTTAAGGATGCGTTGAGCGAAATGCTTGTTTTCACGTGTCCAGGTCGCCCAGGCGGATGTCTAGCGTGAGGATTTTGACAGGATGTCTCGAGCGAAACGCTTGTCCCCAGCACGTTCCGTAGCGCGTCCCCTTGGCACGTCCCGCGGTGCGTCCCCATGGCACGTCCCCTGGCACGTCCTCTGGCGCGTCCCTTGAGACGTTCCGCGGCGCGTCCTCCTGGCATGTCCCCCTGTCAATTCGCTCTGGGGCAGCTTCTATGTGCTCAGGCAGTTCGAGCTTAAGATCCAGATCAGTTCGGTGAGGACTCGGATGCAAAGGAGGACTCGATCCACAACGCTATAGAGAACAATCGCGGCATGGCACATCGCAATTCAGCACGGCGCAGCGCAGCACAGCCCTTGGCACGTTGCATCAAGGTCGATACATTCAGCATTGCAACCTGGCCGGTTCCTTTGCACGTTCCGTGGCGCGTCCTCTGGCAAGTCCTCTTGGCACGTCGCGCGGCGCGTCCTTGGCACGTCCCGTGGCACGTCCATTGGCATGCTCCGTATCGCGTCCCCTTGGCACGTCCCGACGTCCCCTGGCACGTCGCCTGGCGCGTCCCTTGGGACGGGTTGCGCGGCGGGTCCTTCCGGCATGTGCCCCTGTCAATTCGATTTGGGGCAGCTTCTATGTGCTCAGGCAGCTCGAGCTTAAGATTCAGATCAGTTCGGTGAGGACTCGGATGCAAAGGAGGACTCGATCCACAACGCTATAGATCACAATCGCGGCATGGCACATCGCAATTCAGCGCGACGCAGCGCAGCACAGCCTTTGGCACGGTACATCAAGTCCGGTACACTCAGCATTGCAACTTGGCAGGCTCCTTGGCTCGTTCCGTGGCGCGTCCCGTGGCGAGTCCCCTTGGCACGTCCCGTGGCACGTCCATTGGCATGCTCCGTAGCGCGTCCCCTTGGCACGTCCCGCGGTGCGTCCCCATGGCCCATGGCACGGCCCCTGGCACGTCCTCTGGTGCGTCCTTTGGGACGTTCCGCGGCGAGTCCTCCTGGCATGTCCCCCTGTCAATTCGCTCTGGGGCAGCTTCTATGTGCTCAGGCAGCTCGAGCTTAAGATCCAGATCAGTTCGGTGAGGACTCGGATGCAAAGGAGGACTCAATCCACAACGCTATAGAGCACAATCGCGGCATGGCATATCGCAATTCAGCTCGACGCAGCACAGCACAGCCTTTGGCACGGTACATCAAGATCGATACACTCAGCATTGCAGTTGCCCGTCGCCCAATCAGGTGTTTTGCAAACGTTGCCAGGCTTTATATTTCTAGATTCTTTCCAGGGTTCGTGGGTCGATCATGTTGGAAATCAGCCGCCCTCAATCCGTGCAGCGGTTGGACATGCCAAGCTTTCTCAGCACAGGTTGAGAGAACGTCTCAGGAGAAACGCCTGGACAGCCCTACCTATAATCCTAGTGCTCCGGCGAGGAGGGTCCGCACATGACGAGGATGGCCCGAGGCGAAAGAGAAGTGCGCTGGAGGAAGTCATGCGAGCACACCCCAGAGGAGGATGGGGAGGGCATGCGAGCACCCCCGCCCGCTTCACAGGTGCAGTTCGCTTTGTGTTCGCGCTGCTCTGGAGCACAGTAACAAGCGAACTAGCGCACGACAGCAGTTGGCAGTGGAGGAACCCGGAGCACTGGCACCCGTGTGCGCCCGACGACCGCGAGATGCTCCCGGTCGGGTGGATCGACTTACGGAAGGGGGCGGGGGGTTGATGGTTCTGGGGCCAAGATCTCCCATGCAGTAATGCTTCCAGCGGGGACACAGTGCTCTCGACCCCAGGCACCCGCACGAGCTTCGAGAAGCGGCGGCCGCCCTGCTCTGTCTTGTGGACGTCTCGGAGGCCTGGGGAGTGCCGCCCCGGAACGGATCCGCGGGCGGAGGGCGCCTGTCAAGCTCGGGTGCCGCTCCTGGTCCTGTCCCCCGCGCGTCCCAGGAGGAGCTTGAATGCCAGGAAGAGAGGGTGTCCAGTAGTGGGGGGTGCGATCAGTGGGGGGCGAGGAGAGGTGCACCTCCTGTGCCCCAAAGGGGCAGGGGCCCGGAAGGGGCCCCGTGGGGCCCAGAAGAGGCACGAGAGGTGCACGTTTTCTCTCCCCCCCACGCGATCGCCCTCTATATGAATGAACGCCCCAGAAGAAAACCACCAACGCCCAGAAACCTTCAAAAATATGCTCTTCACTTCTTTGATGTGGACAGTTTACAAGATCTTCCAAAAATGCCCAAGAGTCTCCCTCCTCAAGGCTCCAGGGAGTCCAGGCCTTAGCCTGGAAAGGGCGGGCGCGACTGGCGCGGGGCAGGCCCTTTTTCCCTGAAAGGGCTCTGGCCCAGGGTTCTCTTTTAGAAGTTTTCCCTCCCGCCTCGACGGCTGTAGGGCCCGCGAATTTAATCTGCGATGAATATCGAGGTCGAGTAGGACCGGCGAACACAAATTCGAGGATATCCCGAACGAAACGCTTGTTTTGCAGAAATTGTTGAGGATGTCTCCGGCGAAACGCTTCTTTTGTGTTATAGTTTGTCCTCTCCTGAGGACCAGAATTCATAGGATCTCTCAAGTGAACTGCTTGTTTTCACGTGCCCAGGTCTTGAGGATGTCTCGAGCGAGATGATTTGTTTCACGCGTCCAGGTTGCCCAGGCAGATGTCTAGCAAGAGGATTTGTTGAGGATCTCTCGAGCGAGACGCTTGTTTTCACATGTCCAGGTTGCCCAGGTGGATGTCTAGCATGAGGATTGGATGTGTTGAGGATGTGTTGAGCGAAACGCTTGTTTTCACGTGTCCAGGTTGCCCAGGCGGATGTCTAGTATGAGGATGTGTTTAGAATGTCTTGAGCGAAACGCTTGTTTTCACGTGTCCAGGTCGCCCAGGCACGGCTCCGCCCTCGGCACGGTACATCAAGATTGATACACTCAGCATTGCAACCTGCCGCGTTCCCTGGCACGTTCCGTGGTGCGTCCCGTTGCGAGTCCCCCTGGCACGTCGCGCGGCGCGTCCCCTGGCACGTCCTGTGGCACGTCCATTGGCACGTTCCGTAGCGCGTCCCCTTGGCACGTCCCGCGGACGTCCCTTGGCACGTCGCCTGGTGCGTCCCTTGGGACGTTCCGCGTCGCGTCCTCCTGGCATGTCCCCCTGTCAGTTAGCTCTGGGGCAGCTACTATGTGCTCAGGCAGCTCGAGCTTAAGATCCAGATCAGGTCGGTCAGGACTCGGATGCAAAGGACAGTTCGATCCACAACGCTATAAAGCACAATCTCGGCATGGCACATCGCAATTCAGCTCGACGCAGCACAGCACAGCCTTTGGCACAGTACATCAAGTTCTGTACACTCAGCATTTCAACCTGGCATGTTCCCTGGCACGTTCCGTGGCGCGTCCCCCTGGCACGTCACGCGGCATGGCTTGTCCCCTGGCACGTCGCCTGGCGCGTCCCTTGGGACGTTCCGCGGCGCGTCCTCCTGGCATGTCTCCCTGTCAATCTGCTCTAGGGCAGCTACTATGTGCCCAGGCAGCTCGAGCTTACCATCCAGATCGGTTCGGTCAGGACTCGGATGCAAAGGAGGATTCGATCCACAACGCTATAGAGCACAATCGCGGCATGCCACATCGCAATTACGGTACATAAAGTTCGATACTTTCGGCAGTGAATTTGCCCGTCGTTCAATCAGGTGTTTTGACACGTTGCCATGCCTTACATTTCCATATTCCTTTCCGGGTTCGTGGGTCGATCATGTTTGGTTGGGCGCCGACTCGAATCTCACCAGCAGCCCTCGCCGCCGTCACGCGTCAGCTCGGGGAAGGGGGCCTGGGCCTCCCATCGGCCACGCGCAGAGGGGGTAGGGGGACGGGGAAGGCTTCATGGAAGCACCCCTGGCTCTTAGAAGGCGCGGGCCTTCTCGACAGGTGTGAGGCCCGCGCCTTCCAAGAAGGTGGCTTCCTTCTCAGAGGCCTTCCCCCCTCCCCCTGCCCCCCTTGCGCGCGCCGCCAAGTCTAGGCTTCCCGGATGGGGTCCGATGGATGGGGTCGGAGGGCCGCGCCGCACCGCGTGCGTCGCCGAAGTCGCCGATGCACGCATCGGCGATGCGGCGCGATCCTTCGACTAGAACGAAGGATTGCAAAAAAAGGATTGCAAAAAAACGAAGGATTGCAAAAAAACGAAGGATTGCAAAAAAACGAAGGATTGCAAAAAAAGGATTGCAATCGCTCGGCGGCCCTCGCCGCCGCCACGCCTCAGCTCGGGGGAGGGCCCTGGCGGCGCCGCCCTGCGATCGGAGGACCCGTCGCCCGGCTCGGAGGCCCAGCGGCTGGGACGGGTCGGGACGGCCCGCTCTCCGTAGATGCCCGTCGCGGGTCTTTGGGACCGTTCATCGGCGGCGAGCCCGGGGAGGAAGTGAGAGGCAGCAGGCCTTGTCAGGAGGCGGCGGGGCTTCTCGGAAGCCCTCCGGCCTTTTGCGAAGGCGTCGGCGCCTTCGGAGAGGGCTCAGAAAGCTTCTCAGAAGGCTGCAGGCTTCCTGAGCCTTCTGAGAAGGCTCGCCCTCCGCTGCCTCCCCACATGGCAGTCGCTGCCGACTGAACAGATCGAGACGGCCCGTTCTGCGCAGTCTTGGGCTTCCAGGTGCCCGTTTCGGGCCTTGGGGGCCAAAACAAAGCGCCGGCGATGAAACAACGAAACAACTATCCCCGGGAAGGGGTTGAGAGGCCCAAGGGCCACGTTTCGAACAAAAGGCGAGCCGCATGCTGTCGGGGCGGGGCCAGTCAAGATATTCGTCCCCTAGATTCCCCCATCAGTGCTTGCACTGAATGGGGTCTAGACGGAATTGGCGAGTGTACTGGGCCGATTCTGGTGGGCGGCCGGATTCCCGGGCTCTTGGTTGCGGGTTCTGGCGGAAGTGCGAGGTCGATTTCGATGAGTTCCCGCGGGTTCCTGGTTCCCCCGGGTTCCTGGTTCCGGGTTCTGGGCCGATTTCGGAGGGCGGCCGGGTTCCCAGGGTCCCGATTCCAGATCTGAGGTTCCCAGCACTACAGACAGCAGAGGTAATTTCAGGTGGAGCGAGATCAGAGGGTAGAACATGTAAACAGAGTGACGTACACATTGACTGGGATATATATATATATATATATATATATATTAGCTATGTATATATATAGAGAGAGAGAGAGAGAGAAAACAACAAACAAAAAGATAACGAGAAAGAAATGAAGAGAGATGAGGGAGAGAGAGAGAGAGAGAGACACACACAAACTGACCGACAGACAGGCAGACAGACAGACAGACAGGCACAAAGACGGACAGACAAACCAGACAGAGGGACGGACAACGGAAATACAGAGAGAGAGAGAGAGCGAGAGAGAGATATCACTTGCGACTACTGGATGAATAGTTTCGAGTGTCCAGTCGAGGGTAGAGTACAGATTTGAGACGCAGTTCGCCCAGGTCCATCCCCGCCTCCACGACCACCACCACGAGCACCACTACGATTGCGACCACCACTACGGTCGGACCGAGGTATAAGATCGAGGTCGGTTGGGGGAGGGTATGGTTCGGGGTGTTCTGGTCGGCGGAGGGTCTCATGCTCCTGAAAGATGTTCTTCAGTCCTTGGTCCGGCCGTACCACCACCATGACGACCGCGGTCACCACGATTACCGCCACGACGACCGCGACCACGACCAGCGCGCCTGCTCTGTCAGCACTGGCCGTCCCCCCCCCCCCCATCCCTCCCCAAACTGTCTTGCCATCCCCCCCCCAAGGGCAGCGAAAGGTGGGGGGATAGAGCCCCCAATCGCCCAGTGATCGCCGCTAGGGTTCTGACAGCCCCACCCCGCCCAGGAACGTGAGGATTTGCTTATCGGCGGCCGATCGCCGATCTATCGGCGACGCATCGCCGATTCCAAGGCAGTGCTCCCCCCCCCCTGTGCCAGTTCCCCCCTCTTGTTGCCCTTCACCCACCCCCCAGTCCTCTGCCCAGCTGTCCTTGCCTGCATTTCGCCCCCCTCTTCCTCCTCCTCCTCCTCATTCGCGCGCCACGCACCGCCGTAGCGAGCGTCCCTTCTCCTGCTCGAGAGGGTTCGATCAGACGTTGTGTGAGCTCCGACGCCGCCTGCGTGCTGTCTCGCCCTGGTACCCGAAGGCGCCGTGAGGTGATACGTGGGCCCTCCCCCTCCCCCCCGCCCAGCGATAGACAGAGTGATAGAGACAGAGAGGGTAGAGGGAACGAAAGAATTGAGAGTAAAGGGAGATTCGGCAGAGGATATATTTCCATAGCAGTAGTTCTTGCAACTTTCGCGGCGGACAGGCGTGGAATATGTGTGAAGATGTGCGAACATTGATTGGTTGAATTTCTCATCAGGTGCATGTTTACTCGAACACCCCTCATTACTGCATGCGCAAGTGGGACGGGGGGGCACAACGTGGCTTCGATGCCGATCGAAGGCTTCCTAGCTTTGGCTACTACGAGCTTGACCCTCCACTCCTCGGCTTCATGCGGGGGGAACTGAAAGGTAGCTCCCCTCCCTCCTTATCCAGATTCCTTCCCCTCCAGATTTCTCCTCTCACTTCGATCTCGCTCTTTTCTTCTATTCCTCCTTATTCTCCTCCCCTATCTTTCCACTCGGGAAGTGAATGAGGACGTGATCGAGGAAGGGGAGGAGGAGCAGACCATCGAGAGAAGAGGCACATATAGTGAGGAGAGGGATGGGAAGGATG